TGCTCTACTCCATACAACTTTAATAGTTGGGGCACTTATGAACCAACTCAACTACAATGTAACAGCACAGAATGCATATGAAATTCAGGATGATATGAAGTTCCTGTTGAAATCAACATTGTATCTTCAATTTAAGTTACTGAGTTGGTTTTGTGTGCCATTTATGTTTGTCATAAAATTTCTCTTATCTCATTTGTGTCACACTCAGTTTGTACTTTATCATACAGTAAGCTCCCCATTAGCTGGGTTAATAAAGGGCAGAAGATGCACATACATCCAAGGGAACTGAACTGTTGTTATACTGAAACATTAAAGTTTTCATTTGATAATAAACAAATGTAGGAAACTTCTTTTATGCATGTTTTAAATGTCATAAAACAAACGCTTTATCAACATTTTACTGTAATCATGTTAAAAGACTTTCTGTCTGTAAGTAAAATATTACTTTCAAAAAATGACAAAAACCAAATATCAAATGCAGAGCAATACACACGCATAAAACTGTTATAAGTAAGATTCTTTTTCTCCAGGCTGTAATGCAATGGTAGAATTTATTCACTATTGTAATACTTTACATCAGTAAATCAGTAAGTCACTTTACAGTTCTTCCTTACATGCCTTCATGGTGCGTTGCTTAGATACAACTGTCACTACCATACCACACAGTTCTTCAGACCACTGTATGAGCATGAACATCATCAATTCTTCCAAACATCTTAAATAACCAGAAAAGTCAAGAGTGGATTATACTCAATAAATAAAAGAATAAAAACCAACCTGACTGACAACTTTGGAAAAAGATGAAGCTCTGTTTCTTTCAGTAACATTGCAAAACAATTTTCTATCATTGCAAAATATTTACACCTTTGAAAAACCACTCTATTCTATGTAACTTCTTAATCAGTCACTCAATCCATTTGTACTGTGTTAGTGGATGCAATATATTATTACTTACTGAGAGATATTTCACAACATAAATCGCACCAACATAAAAGTCAAACCACAAGTGTTAGAGGTCTGTTAGAAACATGGAAAAAAAGTGAGGTTCAGTTTGTTTGTGACAGAAAATAACTCTGGGAATACCACATCAATCTGAATCAATGTATTGGTAATGCATGCTTACACTGTGCAGACATTACTGATATTATGAAACTTAAAATATATGAGATGAGAGGTCCTCATGGAAGGTGGTGAAGATAGCAATAGTCTTCGGGGTTGTACTGCCTGCCTACAAGTCAACATGGTGATACAACCCGGAGGACCAACTCTTATTAATGATTTCAGACTCCTAACACTGAAGCGTTAAGACAACCTTTAAAAATTAGTGACAGGGTGAAAAAATGTTAAAATTAGAAGAAACAATATTAATGGTCCAAATGTCCAACTTGTTTGATTACCATTATACTTTCATAGACTTAATAGTATGTGAATCAAATTGGCATTCCTCTTACTTTACCTACAAACCACAAGCCTCACTAATTTTATGTGTAAACCACAGGACTCATTACAGATATGAATGATTACAATGTTGGTAAATACAACTCATTTCTTGCAAAATCTGTGTAATGTCCACATTATCTCAAGCACACAAATGTTCATCGGTCACTATAATGCCTCTAAATTAACATGAAGTCAATAAGCAAATATGCCATTCATAACACTGTCCTTTTATTGTTCCACTTTAATACGAGTGTACAACAGGTAGACTGCGTTGGTTTATATGTTAAACTACACAAACTTTGGCTCAGAACTCTAAATTCTGCCAGTGACATTAATGTTCTAATTCATGATAAAACCGTGTCCATATCTTTCAAACCAAGACATAGATACTTTACCACAAGTTCAAAATTTGAAGATTTCAACCAAATACATGAAAAGTTACATATAAATATGAAGCTTAACTGATGGTGTTAAGATGTATATATGTCTTAAATCTGCAAAGTCATAAAGTTAAAAAAATCCATACTTACAAACCAATGACATTCCAAAAAACCTCTGTAAAAACAAAAAAATATAAAATACCTATTCTAATATCACAAAAGACAAATGCCCATGTCAAAGACAAGTGTCTATTAGTCATGACATCACTCACCTGGGTAACCTTTGCATAGTTCCTCAATAGGTGTTGACATTTTCTTTTCACTTATCCGTTCATATTTCTGTCTCTTGGTTGCTGCTTTCAACCCTTGCCATGGTAGGGAACCTCTATTGAAGTACATCAGTACATACCCCAAAGACTCCAAATCATCCCTACGGCTTTGTTCTGAAAAAAAAAACCTCTTTACCATATACCATTGCCTGGTGTAGTTTGGCTAATTCTGTTCTCCAGGTTGCCTGAACTATGGCAATCAGATATTAAGGCAGGTGTCTCTATGACCACCAACTATAAGCATGAAGATCCATGAGTTATAAGTACAGTAGGGCACCGCTTATACGGCAGGTTAGGGACCAGACCCCCGCCGTAAAGCGAAAATCGCCGTAAA